CTTGTAAAACCTACCGCCAGCCAACTAGCTCCAATCGCCGCCTCGTATATCCTGTCTCTATCCCTAATACCAAGTCGATGACTTGCCATGTCCTAGTCGCTCGTGTGCCAACCCACAAATGTTGTGGTACTGCTGGCTTTAATTATGTTCAATGTTGAACCACAAGGTTTGTGGGTTGGCACACAAGTGGTGTTGATGCTTGAAAGAGGAGCAGATGTGATAACAGCTTTTCTTTATGTAAATAAACTAGCTTGCGGTCCTACAATAATGAGTCTTGTTTTAAGTTGATGAAGGCATGTGAGCTGTTTGTATGAAATATTCATAAATCAGTGGACAATTTCCAGCCCAAATCAGACTCCAGGTTAATCAAGCCCTTCCCTTGCTTTTGCTTACTTACCTACACTTATATATCCTATTCAGATCTTTCTCTCTCTTGTTAATTTTAATCGACTCTCCAATCTTCCCTTTATTTGTGAAGTCTCCATATCCAAGAAAACGTTGGGTTTTAGATCCCTCCATCTGGTGCCCCGTAGTGACCATAAGTTAAACCACCTTAAATTTCTAAACTCATAAACTCATGAAGTCGGTTTTATGTGATGACAAAATAATTAAGCACAGAGATCTGAAGATTCTCTAACAAAATACATGATGGAGAAAAGTTTAGGCCTTTCCAAATTCTGCCATTTCATTTCCTCAATAATTCGAAAGCTGGCAAGATGGTAGGATCAAGAACTTGGATGAATAATTATCTAATTCCCTGTTTTTATCTAAATAGTGGTTTCGTGTAATTCTTATTTCTTAGTATTTTGCAATTATTGACAAGTAATCCTACCTTAAAATTGTCCTCAGGTAAGATTTTTATTGGCATTTCTAGCTTCCGATCCTGGCGAATTACGTCCACTCCATACAAACTTATTAATACCATTGATTCCATAACCCCTACCTTAACACCATAAGTATATCTTAAAAAGAAACCAAGGAAATCCGTATTTGTGAGTTTACTATGCACATTTCCGCCCAATTTGTTCCACTTTTTAATAACCAGGACAGATAAAAAGGATAAATTAATGTTATTTTCTAACTTGCTAGTGAAATCGGTCATCTTATCAAATCTACTAATCAACACAAGGACAGCTTCCAGACCCTTCTTTAGATGCTGCCAGATCGAAAACTAGTCATTCCTATATCTGACTAATAGTTTCAGAAGTAGGAGATTTTTTTGGGGAAAAAAACAGACCTCTAGCCATGTAATTAATGGCTAAAAGTGTAGACAAAGACGATCCCATTCCATGTTTGCTCAAACAATTTACCATTAAAGGTAAAAAATATATAATTAATTACTAAGTTATTCAATCTCATAATTGACTCTATACGTATCTTATTTCTTGAGATAATAACTGAGTGTTGATCTAATGTTAATTTTGATGCCCCATTTATCAGAATATAGGCTTATATTTACACTTATATCAAAACTTACAAGCGAATCTTCCTGCTCTATTACCTGTTCATCTACTCACTTATACAATTCAAAAGCTTGAAATTTGCTTTAGGTTGCGACAAATAAATCGTGATGTATTAACCGTCACACAATCCTTATTATTCCTAATGCTTCTAAGTATGAACCCTTCTTCGAGAATTGTGGACAGACCATATGAATTAGGTCTAGCATCGTGTTGAAGGAGTGTATTTATTATACACTTATCCAGGTCTTGATTACTAACACACTGCTGCAGACAACAATTATGTCTCGAATTTGGTGTTTATGTAGAGCCATTAGTTATAATTTTATTCGTGTCAAAAACGGCATCATTTTACTATATAATCTACCCTAGGTAAAGCCCAAACTGATCCTCTTTTGTTTGTGGCGACGAAATCAGCTTCTCTTTCATTTGCTTACAAGCATGTAGGATAGACATCAATTGGTCAAACAAAGCATGAGATGCCTTAGTAAGACCGTAAAGTTAGGAATTAGAAGTAAGTAGGATTGCAGCAGATCATCTTTCTTGGT